TCTGTGTTTGGTTTGCTCTTCCTTTCCTAGTTGTTGAAGGTGTATCATTAGGGTATTTATTTGTTCCCATTCTGTTTTCCTAATGGGTGTGTTCACAGCTATGAATTTCACTCTGAGAACTGCTTTCATCATATCCAATAAATTACTATAAGTTTTGCTTGAATTTTCATTGAATTGTAGATATTGTTGAATTTCTTCTTTAGTTTCATCTGAGACCCATTTGTTGCTGAGTAGGGTGTCATTTAATTTCCATGTATTTAAGGATTTTTTCTGGTTTTTTTTGTCATTTGTTTCCAGTTTCATTGCACTGTGGGCAGACAATGTGCATGGTATAATTTCTATTTTCTTATATATCCTTAACCATGACCTGTGGATCAGTGTGTGGTCTATTTTAGAAAATGACCCATGTGCAGCTGAGAAAAATATGTATTCAACTGTGTTTGGGTGGAACACTCTGTACATGTACACCAAGTCCATTTATTTCAAGCTCTGGTTCAGTCTGTTATTTCTTTGCTAAGTTTTTGACTGGTTGACCTATCTTTTGGATATAAGAGTGTGTTAAGGTCTCCTGTTAAAATTGTGCTATTGGACATTAGATTTTTAATATCCATTAAGATTTGCTTTATATAGTTTAGTGCTCCCATGTTTGGTGCATACATATTTATGAGTGCTATATCTTTCTCTTGAATTTTTCCCCTAACCAGTATATAGTGACCTTCTTTATTTCACTTGATCATTGTTGGTTTGAAGTTGAGACTGTCTGAGAATGGAATTGCTACCCCTGCTTTTTTCTGAGGTGCTGGGGCATGTAGTATTGTGTTCCATCCTTTGACATTCAGCCTATCAATGTCTTCATGAGTTAAATGTGTTTCTTGTATACAGCATATTGTTGGATTTTGCTTCCTAATACACTGTGCCAGTCTATTTCTCTTAATTGGTGAATTGAGTCCATTTACATTGATGGTTAGAATTGAGATGTATTTACTTATGATTGACATGTTATTTACCTGTTGTCATTTACTGCTTTTTCACCTGTGTTTAATTGCTTGCCCTATTTAGTTGGTTGCTTCTGATCTCACTCGTGGAGTTCTGATCATTTTGGTTCCTCTCTACAACATCTTTCAGTATCCTGTGTAGGGCTGGCTTTGTCATCATGAAATTCTTTAGCTGTTCTTTGTCATGAAAGTTTTTACTTCTCCATCAAATTTGAAGGAGAGTTATGCTGTGTATAGTAGTCTGGGCTGTAATTTGTTTTCATAGAGGACTTGAAGTACTCTGCTCCATGCTCTTCTTGCCTTCATGGTTTGTGAAGAGAAGTCAGCTGTTATTCTGATGGGTTTTCCTTTGAATGTTATCTGCTTCTTTTCTTCAGCAGCTTTCAGTATATTATTGTTGTACTGATTTTCTGGGATCTTGACTATCATATGTCTAGGTGTGTTTTTCATTGGGTTGAGGTTACTTGGCGTTCTGTATGCTTCGGTTACCTGAATGTCAGATTGTTTCCTCATATTTGGGAAGTTTTCTGCTATTACCTCTGCCCATATTTTTTAATGTCATTTGTATTGACTCCTTCTTTCTCATTGATGCCTATTATTCTCACATTGTTCATCTTTGCATCATCTTGCAGGTGATGGATTATTCTTTCCTGCATCCTCGTTGTTTTTAAGAGATCCTTTCTTACATTTTCACTAGCTGCATCAGCATCTCCAAGATCTGAAACTGTCTTCACTTTCATTTAAATGGTTTTGCAAGCTTGTGATTGAGATTTTAATTTCCTCTATATCTCTTTGACTCTGCTTCATGCGATCTATTTCTTTCCTGTATTGCTCATTCAAGGAATCCGTCATTTTTCTAATCTCCTCTATTTTTTTCATCAATGTCTTCTTTAGAAGCAGTTATAAATTCTTTTACTGCAGTGTTTTTTTAGACTGGGTTTCCTCCCTATGTGTCTATAGTTGCTTCTTTACTTCAGATGCTATGAGTTCTGAGAATTCTGTTTTTATTTCAGAAAAGAATTGTGCTCTGATTTCCTCTATAACTTTCTGCTGTTTCTTATTTACTATCGACGCTATTAATTCATGCATTTGAACTGAGCTAGTGTCCTCTGCAGTTGTTCTGAGTGGGCATTGGTTTTCCTGCATATGTTTCTGCATTTGATTCTTTACTGCATATGTTATTAATTCAGGGATTTCTTTTTTTTTTATTTTCAATCTGAGTTCCTCTATACCTTTCTGCAGCTGTTTCATTATTTCAGAAGCCATTGACTCATTTCCTTCAGTTGTGTGATTCTCAATTTGTTCTGTGTTATTGTCCTCTGCCCTTGTTATGGGTGGGCTTGGGTTCTGAGGTTGCATTTTGTTCCTTCTTGTCATTTTGTGTAGCACTGTCTTCTGAATTTTGTTGTAGATCTTTGTTGTAGTTATAACCTTAGCACATACTGCAGTTCAGGTGTAGATCTACAAAGTTTAGATTTATTCAGCTGTGCTGGCTTGGGTCTGCCTGCTGTGCTCAGCTCCTTCCTTTTGCTGCCCTTGGGGTGAACCTATTGTACCCCTCTGGCAAGATGTTCTGCTCCTGGACTAGCTGGGTGGTTCTATCCTCTGCACTCTGTGCAGGGATTGCAGCTGCAGGACTTCACCCCCAGGCCTGCATGCCAGGCCTGAGCTGAGCCTGGAGGGGACAAGGAGGGACAGCTCTCCCACATACTCATAGGGCCTGGGCTAGGACTGGGTCTGGGGGTTCCCAGAGCGTGGCAGAATTTCCTGCTAGGCGTGCGGGTTAGAGGAAGTGCTGTGGAGTGGTGGGGGGCGTTCCAAGGGGATGAAAGAGGGTCTCCCCCACGCTGTGCCTGGGCTGGGACCAGTAGTAGGTCCCGCTGGCACAGGGTAGAGGGAAGTTCTCCCACACACTCACAGGGTAGAGCTAGGACTGGGTCTGGAGGTTCAGGGAATGCAGCAGAAATTCCTACTCGGTGGGCGGGGTGGGGAGGTGCTGCAGAGTGGTGGGGGGTGTCCCTAGGGAGTGGAAGAGGGTCGCACCCGCACTGCGTCTGGGCTGGAACCAATAGCAGGACCCGCTGGTGCAGGGTAGCTGGAAACTCTCCTACACACTCACAGGGCCTGTGCTTGGACTGGGTCTGGAGAGAAAACATTCTGTCAGGCTTTCACAGAGAGCAAATTGGTCAAGCAATGGCCGTGACTCAACCACAAGGCTGACACTGACAAAGGAATACAAACTCTGGTACAGAGTTTCAGGATAAATCCTGAGGGATTTGACTGATCTTATCAGATACAAAAGCTACATTTCTTGTTATATAGGTCTTGCTTTATCTTGGTCTTAGCTATCCAGCAGAAAAGTATAAAACAAAGTATAAAAAGTAAAACTATATTAACATGCTGAGCTGTAAAATGCTCAAGTCATCAACTACTGACTTTGCCAGTCTCATGGAAAACCCACTACTATTATGAACTACTGGACTATATTGGAATGTTTTCTGAATTTACGCACCTATAATATTTAAATGACAATGGAATACTTTTCTCTGACAAAAGTAAAGAAAAAAAGGGATCCAAATGAACAACTATTTTGTAAATATATATTCAAAATAGTTACAATAGAAATACAGCTACATTCTCTTAATTCAATGAATAGAAATTTTGTTCTAATAGTGTTTGTGGATAGGATATCATGTCTGCATCTTGTACAATGAGTAATCAGTAAGACAACAATATGCAATGTATTAAGTATTGAACCTGTCCTACTAATCGGTTTTGAAACTGTCTTATTGCTATTTGTTTCTCAACAAAATTATTTAAAAAAAATAAAAATAAAGATTTTCATTTTTGCTCTTAAAAAATCTCCATTTAGAGTCAATATGATAACATTTATCAATTGTTGGGACTGTTTCGAAGATGTCATCTGTTCATTATTTTCTTATCAAGATGTCATCTCAGTTTTAAAAGTCTTTGTATAGGATCATCATATCCAAAAAAGTAGTTAACTTACATTTGAATATTAAAAGCATGTTAACATGTATACTCATGACCATTGAGCGTAGCTTGTTAATTTGAACACAAATAGTCCTTAAAAATTCAATAGCCATAATTCTGTTTTTTAATGAACCACCTATTTAATTCTTATATCATAGATATAATTCTTATATCATA